GAATTCTGAAACTCTTGCTAGGTTGGAAGCCAGTTCTAATCAGACATGTCGTCTCATCAGACGAATAGCAAACAGGCATGCTGGGATGAAGGAGGCGAACCTTCTTAGATTAGTGCAGACCTTCATAATAAGTAGGATAGTGTACGTGGCACCTTATTTAAAATTAAACCAAGCGGAGCGGGGCAAACTCGACACCATTATCAGGAAAAGTGTGAAAGTCGCGCTCGGACTTCCCCCAAACACGTCAACTGACAGACTTATGAAGTTGGGGGTATCTAACACAATCGATGAGCTAATTTAGGCTACTGTGACTGCACAACATCAAAGACTACTCGGATCTAAAACGGGGAGAGCAATATTAAAGAGATTGGGCTATGAGCCCACGCGTGAGCAAGCGCGTTCAAAAGACATACCGATACAGATCAGGGACAGGATAAAGATACCTCCGCTACCCAGAAATATGAACCCTAACTTTCACGAAGGCAGGCGTAAAGCCAGGGCAGAGGCATTACAATCTAGGTACACTGGTCGACAGGACGTCGCGTATACAGACGCTGCGGAATATGAAAGCAAAGCGGCACACACGGCAGTGGCGGTCAGGGGAGATGGTGGCCTAATTGCGTGCTGCACAGTACTTGGTGTCGAGACTGTAGAGGCCGAGGAAGTGGCCATAGCTTTGGCCATCAGCGACTCCAAAAACGCTGTGAGAAATTACGAATCGGGAAGGGTGACGGAGACTGCCGTCCGTATATTAAACATGGTAGGAGTACCCAAAGAGCAGATTCTGCTTGTCTGGGCTCCAGCTCACCAAGGCCTTAGAGGGAACGAGGAGGCTCATTCCGTCGCCCGAGGTCTCACCTACCGGTCGACCCCTGGAACCTCCCAAGTTACCGAACAAAGAAGCGAGTATATGCGCACATACCATGAAATCATCGCACACTACAGGCTGAATCGGCAAGTGTACCCGAGAGCGGACAACTCACTAAGTAAGAAAAACGAGATTTTGTGGCGAAAGTTACAGACCGGGGTTTTTCCAAACCCCGCACTTTACAGCAAGTGGCACCCCGCAGTTTTCCAGTCCCAGTGTAAATTTTGTGATGAGGTAGCGAATTTGGTCCACATGGTGTGGACATGTCCAAGTCGAAACGATGGTTCTCGCACTGTAGAATCCTGGGAGGCCCTGCTCTGCAGCCCAGATCCCAACGTCCAGCGCGACATCATCAGTCAAGCCCTTGCTGCTGCCGCGTCCCAAGGGATTCCGGCCGACAGCTAGGGGCAACGGGCCATGCCTGAGCAATTGACTGACCTTTTAATAAAGTTTTTTTTCTCTCTCTCTCTCTCAGCAAAACAGAAATCCCCGTGACAGTGACCTATTGAGGAGCCTCCCAAAGAAAATATATAGAATAATAGAATCCAATCTAATTGGATTAAAACCACTTTGGTAATGTTTATCCTTAGTGACGAAGCGACTACACGATAAAAATATTGATCGATTGTTTGATCCTTGTTACAGAATGAGCGAAGAGGAAAAGGAGCCAGACCAGCTTTACGCATGTAGTAATTTAGTTTTAGAATTCTTCAACGTAATTCAGATCACACACATACCTCCTTGCTCACACACAATACCAACCACTTCACTTCTAGTCTGAGTTGCATTTCTGGGTATGTTCCACTACGCCCTGTTGCCGTAATTGCGTAACAGAACCACCAGCATAACAGTACTGATAATATTTCAAAGAATGCACCCTGATATAAAAACAATTAGAAATGCAGTATACATATAGAAAAGATGCAGCGACTATTTCGAAAGGCACAAGAGTTCTAGCCAGCTGCTGTAATATCACCATTCAAAATAGATATATCGGACTTTATTACATTGTATTTTTAATTTACGCATGTATTTGTAAAAAAAGGGGGTACATTGAAATAGCCTATATGTAACTGCTTGAATAAATTACGTGCTGCATTAAAAAAATCATTTTGGCAATATCTTAGGATTTTAGTGTACTTTTGAAGTTAAACCTTATCTTAGAAAGGAGAACAGCGAGAAGTAGGTCCCCGAGTGGAGAATGTTGGGCACATAATAAAAATTAATGTTCGAAGGTTTCTGTTCCTGCGCAGCATTGACACATGTCGCGAGACCAGCGCTGTGTATCTGCAGGTTTATTGGGGTTAACTGCTCGGATTTCGTCACTGTGCGAGCAACAATTGCGAAAGTGACTACAGGTATATGACTCGATTTCGGCAGCAGCGATATTGAGCACACCCACGCCGTACACATTGATGGCCGAATGGCTGGTAGTTCTCGTCCTGTTTGAGAAAGTTCATGCAAGACGCGTGAAAAGGGATGCCGCCGTAGCAAGAAACTTCGTCCTCGTGCTTAAACTCAATGCTAGAGTCAACAATGTATGCTTTACTCGCGGGCTCTTTCTCTAGCTACCAATTTCACTAAAGGCTCTTCCATTTAGTCCTTTAAATAGAAACCTGGCGACCGTTTTCGCACACACAAGGCTGCTTTTGGCCACATTTACTACCCTTGACTCAACTCTGCAACTTTATAGCTAGTTCTTTTCAATTTCATGGCTATTTTTTATTTTTCGACCTGGTAACACTGATTGAGACTGTTTTAACAGTAAATTATCAATAATGTTGAAATAGTGTTTTTGCGAATGATGGGTCCATGTAGTGCCATGTTACTGCTGTTATTCTTTTTGCTACCTGACATCGTACAAATAGACAGGGAGAGAGAAGGCTAGAAAGGAGCGAAGGAAAGATATTATGAGAAACTTCCCGAAAAAAAATTCTATAGCTTCCATAGTGGATCGGCAACAGGGCTGTAACCATAAGTGGTCTGTCCTGTAGTAAGCATGGTTGTTTCACCGAAGCGCCATGAAGTTTACTTTATTTGAAGTTGGTATACGCGATAACAAAGTTTGTACCTTCTGCCGTTTTTTTTTAGCGTTTCAATCAAGTTTGACGAGACTTTCTAATATTTCTTACCCTTATACACATAGTACGCACACAAAAATAATTTACGCGTCACTTGCCTCAAAGGGTGCTTTATTCGCAAATTTCTTTGTTTGTCAAAAACAACAACAGCAAAAAACGTACTTCTCTTCACGAAAAGGAGATATTTCCCGAAAAGCTGAGCCATATACCGATGAAATCAAAATCTTCGCCAGAAAACTAGTGCCTTGTCATCTCTAATAAAAACAAACCTCGAGGTGTCTGTGACTAAATGGCTTGCAAAAAAGCATGAAGCAATATATCAAGATAATTTTTATTTGTTTTGAAGAGAGTAATATCGAGATCAGTAAACCGTAGCTTTTTGTTATTAGCGGGTTGGTTTAATTAGCTAATACACTCTAGCTGATGCAATAGCTGATGCGATTAAATATTATAATAACGATAAATCCAATGGGTCTATTTAGAAATCGCATATGTTGACTTTGGACAGCTCTTTTAATTATGGAACAGAACATTTAGGCGGATGTTGCAAGTTGGCTCGCATAAATCATCGCATGAAAGAATAGCGAGAAAGAGCACTTTTTTTTTAATAAACGGTGCGCTTATTTCATGGTAGAGGACGAGTTTTGGCCGCGGTTTGGGATTATCTGGTAAATGGATTTTAGGGCCGAACAGCGTCAGGGTGTTAGGCTGGTACCGGTTCATGTTAACTCATCGTATGGACAGAGTTGCATCTGTCTTCGATAAATATCCAATGGAGTCGCTCTCGCACGAGACTGTCGACCGCTTCCACGCCACTCGAAACAGGCCACTTATATTAGTATAAATTTGCAAGAGCTTTTTGTTCTGGAGTACATTTGAAGGTTAAAGTTCTTCAGCCATCTTGTTGAACTTTCAGTCAATTTTGGAAGAATTTTTTTGGTTGGCTCAAAAACGAAAAGAGCACAAAAAGGTGGAGGGGTTGGTTCACTGTAACCGAAATTCTACAGACGTTCTCCTTTACATGGTGTCGTACTAATAGTTGTGGAGGTTTCATGTTCCAAAAGTAGCGTACTTTTTTATTAATTTTGGGCATAACGCAGACGCAGACTTTGCCCACCAGTTAAGGCAAAATGAGAACTTCAACCTCCTGACTAGGCCACACTGAAACAGCAGAAGCAACGGATTTCAAAACAGTGAATCAACCTTGAAACACAATGAATAAACAAGGACGTAATCATTAATACAGAAGCATATAATCACTAAGTTGAGGACTATGCAGCGAGCAATGGAAAGGAAAATGATAGGTGTAACCCAAGGAGACAAGAAGAGAGCAGAGTGTATCAGGGAAGAAACGGGAGTTAAGCACATCACAGTCGAAATCAGGAAGAAGAAATGGTCATGGGCCGGGCACGTAGCGCGGAGGCATGATAACCACTGCTCATTAGGAATCACAGACTTTATTCCGAGAGAATGAAAGTGGGTGAGAGGGAAACAGAAGTTACGTGAACAGGTGAGATTAGGAATTTCGCGGGCGTAAAGTGGCAGCAGCAAGCACAGGACCAAGTTGACTGGCGGGACACGGGAGAGGCATTTGTCTTGCAGTGGGTGTAGTGAGGCTGCTGCTTATGATGATGAAAAAAGGAAAGGAAAGAGAATCACCTGTTTGTAGCACGAAGTCATAAGGAAATATATACGGATTTCTAATAAGGAAAAGGTCTTAGTTGCCGAAAAATTGGCCCTGGTCTGGGGTTCAAACCCGGGACCAACGCTTTTTCGGGGTGGTCGCTTTGCGAATTGAGCTAACCAGAAAGCTGGCGATTGTCAGCGGGAATGCTAATTCATCGACAACTAGAAGCACGTGGACACAAGTAAATGATGATGATTAAGAAGTTTAAGCAGACCGTGCTCTAGCGTTTCAGCTCCATCGAAATGCGTCCAGCACTGCCAGGATTCGATCCTGCGACCTTCGGGTCAACAATCGAACACTAAACACTGGGGTGGCTATTATGGTAGATCATAGCACCATACTAAAAGCAAACAAACAACCTTACCTTGTTGACGAATTCCTTTGTGTACTTTAACTTCATGAGCACTTCACTTATGAAGCGGTCAGCACGCTGCATATTCGAGTCTTTGACAAAGATTTTACAGTTGTCTGTCCCTTGTAGCCGTATAACGTTGTCCCCTTTCTGAAATCAAGCTGTCCGGAATGAAATCGCGAGCATACGCAATAACGCAGGTGCTGCTTTATATACGTGATGTGCTGCTATACTAGCGCAATCGCAGACAGTGACGGGGGGCTCGATCGTAGCCATGTCACAGAGCGGTGCTCGCAGCTGACAAGAGCTGGCTTATACACATGCGAGCCGGCTTCATGAATCGGATCTGCTTCTATACGAGCTGTACCGATGTAATGGGGGCTTCATAGTGTACTGTCCTTTTAATGTTGAGGAGTATGAACCGCAGCTGTGCATCGGAGCGGATAGACAAATAAATGAAGAGGCAAGGCAGTAATTCGTCGTAGGAGCAACACACGTGGAGTAATTGTGAACTTTTATTGATTATTGGTGACGCGAGTAACTACAGTGAGGTCTTCGTTTCTCTCCCAATTACTTCCATTCTAACATTTCCGGCAGTCCGAACATTCATAAAACCTGTTTCGTTTTTTTTTCTGCGCAGTAAACCTGAAAGTAATATTAAGCGTACCTAGTTGGCTCAAAGCTAACATTGGTTTCAGCATCGGAACTCGAAGTTAGAAAAAAAAAAAAGACAGATGGGAACTTTGTCATCCTTGTCTTTTTAACGCGAAAGCGTTAGAGAGCTCTTGTCGCCGAAATTCCGCCGTCGGCGTTGCCACCGTTGGTTGTGAGCGAAAAATTGTACGTGAGCGAAAAATCGAAAAAGAAGCAAATTAAATAAAGAATACACTTTTTGGTCTCGTTGAGGACCGAACCCGGGACGTTAACGTGGCAAGCAGGTGTCCTACCACAAAGCCACGCTGTTACTTGCAGCTGATTCGAGAAAAAAACGCTACATGAATGTCATGTATATATAGTGGAAGGAGTCTCCTTAACGCATTTAGTTCGACAGATGTCACAACAAAAACGAGCCTATTCGGCGATTTGTAGGCGCATTTAGGAGGCAATGAAACTACGTCGAAAAAGGCCGTGATTGTGCAGCTATCGCCGCTAAAAACACACAGGAACTTTCAAACAGCTCTAAAAATTTGACAACTATGTCCATCTAGCGGAAAACATATCATGCCTTTGCAGAGGCGCTGATCAAGCAAACAGCAAACGCTTGATAATGTGCTGCCATCTGTGAGGCATTGTGAAATTCTCTATGGCCTCCGAAATGGCGAGCGCGTGGTGTGTATTTCGGAGGCTATGCGACTCTTGCTTTAGATCAAAACCTGCGTGTACCATTCGCGCACGCGCGCTGGTAAAATCTGTTGTGTATGTGTGTGCGTGTGCGTCAAAAAACATATTAGTAAGCGTGCACTTAACGGTTGAAGGGTGCAGTAGGGGCCGGATTTCGCTATCGCGTTCAACTCCTAAAGGCGAGGCTTGAGGGTCCCCCATTTTTTTGCCCCGCGTTCTAAGTTCCGCTGCTCAAGCCTGTAAACGTTTTACAGCATGTAAACCTTGTATGGAATCTCTGCTTATGGTTCTATTTAAAGTTTAATTGGATGCACGTTATAACGGAACAGAAGTTTACTTGACATAATTTTTATACAATTGTCTGAAGAATTATTAAACCTTTAGTTGATGAAACCTCCCGAAGTTTCTTACAAGCGTTTCGCACCACAGCCATTTCATCTCTATACGCTACGACGAAATTTTCAAAATAGAAGATACGCAAAATGCAGCTTCTTTTCTAACATTTCAATCCTGCCCATGCTGCTGTACTTCTATGCTGTTATGTAATAATTATGTGCAACAACCTTTATCTGCTCTAAATTGTTAGCGGCTTGAACTATTGAATAAACTGCGCGCATCTGGTATTAACTTCAATGAATCTTCACTGTAATGTGTCATCGGCCTATCTAGAATTCCTCTGCATAATAACTCCATCAATATACCGTTTCATTATTATACCTGTTCGTATAGCTCGTGTGTTCGTTCCTCATTTTTCTCTTGTATTGCACTTATTCGCTACGTCGCTGCCCTCATTTTCATATTGCCAATCCCTGAGGGTAATAAATAAGTAGATGGGAAGTTTTCCTATATAGTAAGCTGTACGCGTATCACGAATTCAATAAGACAGACGAAGGCATCACACCATATGCTGGTAGTTCGTATGCAGGTGTAGTCTATATAGAGTATTACAAGCGCTCTCTCTGTAAAGTGAACGTGTTGGTTTATGGAAGTCGTTATCAACAACAGTTCACTGTCTCTGTAGACTTTTTTTGTCGACTTTGGATAGCGGCGTACTCGCATTTCACAGAATGAATTACTGACACATCAACTTCCAGAATAATGAGATAAGTGTAAATTGCAACTGGTCATGGCACTTATCTCATAACCATTAATCACTAACCATACTTTTCTCACGAGTCCACGTACTGGAACAAAAAGAGTAAAGCATTTCGCGTAAACTTTTGGCGTATAACAGTATTTGTATTTTATAAGTAGCACATGCCTTTTTTTATTCTACGCTAGCTTTTGGGGGCGACCCACTGTATTCTTGACTGACATGCTGCTGGCTCTCAGAATAAACAAATTTCTCAAATAAGCCTACAGGACCACAAAATATGCTTCATGTGCTTAGAAAAGTTTATGCATTTCCGTTGGGTGCAGCTGCTTCACATACTCGCCATTCAACTCGCCTCATTAAGCTGATAATAGTTGAATGAACTTCTTTTTCTTACACACACACGCACACACTATATATATATATATATATATATATATATATATATATATATATATATATATATATATATATATATATATATATATATGTTTTTTTGTGTGTGTGTGTGTGTGTGTGTAAGTGTGTGTGAAAAAGCGTATACTCAAGGGCTCGTTTTTTCCGTGTTTTGACACAACAATAATGAGATCTAACAGACAATAGAGAGAGAGAGAGAAAAGAAATGTAGGAAAGGTAGGGAGGTTAACTAGGCTATGCGTCCAGTTTGCTACCCTACACATGGGGAGGGGGAGAGGGGAGTAAGAAAGAGAGAGAAGGATAGACACATGTCACATCACACACACAATGCCGAGTTTCACAGGCGGTCCCTCAATGAAGTTGCTGTCAAATATCTCAGGAGGGCTCGTGTGGCTTTCTGTGCTGATGTGCTGCGTGACCAGGCTCCTAAAATCTTTGCTTCATTCAAGGCACACTGGAGAGTCCGGCGATCTTCATCAAATTGGGCACTGTGGCCACAAGAGATGTTCAATAGTCTCTATACAGTTGCAGCTTTCACACATGGATGAATCTGCCATGCCGATGCGATGGCTGATTGACTTAGTAAACGCTACCCCAGTCCACAGCTGGCACAGCGTTGTAGCGTCATGTCGAGAAATCTTGGATGGCAGTTGTTTCTGGAGTAATGACTTAAGGTTCTTAGGGTGATGATTGGAGTCAAGTGGAGAATTCCAGTGCGCAAGCGTGGCATTATGCGCGATGTGACGAAGTTCTCTAGCTCCGTCTACTCTTGACAACGGTATTAACAGTGTGGGCGCTCCATCGTGGGCACATCGGGCAGCGTCGTTGGCGAGGTGGTCACCACTGATGCCACAGTGGCCCGGCAACCATTGTAAAGCAATGTCGTGTCCTTGATCGGCAGCGCGGTGACAAATTGCATTAATACGATACACCATCTGGTGGTAGTTTCCACGTCCTAGACTTCGCACGCATTGAAGGGCTGCCTTGGAGTCGCAGGAAATGGCCCATCTACTAGGGGATTCTTGCGTAACAAACACCACAGAGGCTCGAAGAGCGGCGAGCTCTGATCCCGTAGATGTCGTGACGTGTGAGGTCTTGAATTTGACGGTGATTGATCGAGATGGTATGACAAAGGCAACTGTCGAACTTCCCGAGACCGAACCGCCTGTGTAAACATAAATTCGGTTAGCATACGACACATGCAAAAGGTCCAGTGAGATCTGCTTGAGGGCTGCAGATGACAGGCTTGCCTTTTTAGATATCCCCGGCACTTCAAGGTGCACAGTGGGTCTTTTCATGCACCACTCTGGAGATAGTGGTTTGGTTGCGGGCGAGAATCTCCACGAGATGGAATTCTGGTCTGCCGCAACAACTTTAGCAAACGCTGCCTTTGGTCTTTCTAGTGGCAAGCTAGCAAGGTGGTGGTTAGGCACTCCGGATATGTGACGGATATGTGTCCGGAGTGTGTCTACAGGTATATGTGTCGTGATCGGATGGTCTTTAGCAATACCAATTGTTGCTAACGTATTAGCGCACCGAGGTAGCCCCAAGCATGTGCGAAGGACTTGGCCTTGAATGCTTTGCAGGACCCTGATGTTAGTTTTTCCGGCGTTGGAAAGCACGGGTGTGCTATACCGCAAATATCCCAAGAAGAGCGCTCTGTACAGCTGAAGCATAGATGACACTGATGGGCCCCACGTTTTACCAGCGAGAAATCTTATCACGTGTGTCATAGAGCTGAGCCTATTCATCAAGTGCGAGATGTGAGCACGCCACGAGAGATCTCTGTCGATAATGACGCCCAGAAATTGATGACGTTTCGTATGCGAAAGGTTCACGTTGTCGATGGAAACAGGATAATAGATCATGGGCTTGCGGGTAGAGGGACTAAGGCGCACTTCTCGGTGGAAATTGTGAGGCCTCGAGCATGGAGGTACGTCGACGTTATTCTCGCTGCTTTTGGGAGCCGTGTGCGTACCTGGAGTCGTGTCACTGCTGAAGCCCAGATACATACATCATCAGCGTATGTAAAGAGATTGACTGATCGAGGTAGACCTTGTACAAGGCCAATGATCATGAGGTTAAAAAGCGTAGGGCTGAGAACCCTGCCTTGTGGAACGCCACGAGCGGTAGTAATGATCAACGGTGCGGCCCTTCCGCAGTAAGGCACGAAGAAGGATCTCCTCTGTAGGTAGCTCCGAATCCATCGAAACATTTCTCCACCGATTCTAATGTTAGCCAAGGCATCTAGGAAGGCATCGTGTGTTACGTTGTCATATGTACCTTTCACATCTAGGAACAATGCAACCGAGATGCGCTTGAGGTATTTTTGTTGTTGCACAGAGGTTACGAGGTCGATGACATTATCAATAGAAGAGC